TGCAATGTACAAGGGCTGCGGCTTTGGCGGCTTTGGCTTGGTCACATCAGCGCAAGTACAGCAACTGCCAAAGCCACGCCTCAACGCGAATGCCCAGGAGTTTGTCCCCAGCGTCCCCAGCATGTGTGGATTGGCTCCACCGGCTCCACCGGCTCCACCTCAAAGATCTCAAAGCCATGTTTGGGACTACAACGAGTGCAGTTTACCTGACGAGCAGCGAAATCCTCCACAATCTCAGCTGGTGGCTGCGTACGATCTGTCGCCAAAGGTGCCTGCGGCTCTTTCAAGCATGCCGCGCATGCCTGAAAAGAATGTTCCAGATCCCGTTCAAGCACGTGGCTTGCGAACAGATGTCCCTTCACAAGGGTCAGCCCTCCACAGCATGGGGCAATGCAAGCCGTGTGCTTGGTTCTGGAAATCTAGAGGCTGCTCGAATGCAGCCTTTTGTGACTACTGCCACTTGTGTCCTCCTGGCGCACTGAAAGAGCGGAAGAAGGCCAAGATCGCAGCCATCCGGGCAGGCATCATCGAGCCTCGAGCTGTGCTGAAGGCCTAGTCGGGGGGAGCGAGCTTGATTGCAGACATTGTCACATAGTGCATGGCTGCCTTGCAGCGAAGCCTGCAGTAATTAAAGACAAGAGCCGTACAAAACGATCAGGAACTTTTGTCTTGTGCATGGGAGTCATGAGTGCCATGCGTGCCTGAAGAATGCCGGGTGCCCCGGTCTTCGGCGCAGAGAATTTTAACGAACATTTTGTTGAGAAACTTCTTACAGGACGAATGTGTTTCAAGTGTCAGGACCGGTGCCTGCCGGACATAACCGGACCATGCGGTGCGAAAGGAGAGTGCAGGATAGGAGCTCATGCTACTGTAGGACTGTGGAATGATGCGCTTGCGCAACAGCACCTGCAAGTTTGCTGCTCCTTGAGCAGCCTAGAAAGGCCTTCTTTAAGCGACCTGTCTGCGATACTTGGTGCATGTCAGTGTGAAGTATATAGGTCCTCTAGCCTTCGCTGTCTCAGCCCATCTCTGGCATGGAGCTCATGCCATGCAGCCAAGGAGCCAAAAAAGACAGAAAAGATCGTGAGTTGCAAGGCTCAGCTGATCTCCGATCTCCATCCGGCAATGAGTAAGCAATTCCGCCGCTTGTGGCGGAGTTTTGTGAGGAAGCGCATTGATTGCTGCTGATGGGCAACAAGGGCTTTTACTTTTCCGATCGTGTTTCGCTTTGCAGCGACTTTGCTTCAAGAAGCTGCGGCGGAAGCACTACGTCACTACGTCGCTAAGGCATGTCAAAGCAGTCTGGCAGGATTAGATGGCCCAGCCACATCGACCAAAATGGTGTTTGTCCGCTGGGCAGTAGCACGGTTGAGATTGCAGCTCGGGTGCTGCGGCCTATCGGTGGAACGGCTGATTTTCTCCGTATCTCACAAGCACATGCCCGGTGCTGGCAGAGTCACCGGATGAGTGAGAAGTTGGAGTTTTGGATGGGAACGCTTGGAACGAGTATATAAAGACTAATTGCCAATACCCGTATCTTGTGGTACTCTGACCCCCATCACTAGGCATGCTTTTGTTACATTTTTTCGTTTTGCCGGCAGCCTGTCGGCCTCATGTGTCAGAATTGTCAGAGGTTGGTTTGGCTTGGGGCTCCAAACGTGTGAAAGGCCAGTAGCAGGAGCAGCCAAGGAAGCTGTCCAGGACTGAGTGCTGCGCAATCTCCTGCAAGCAGAGAGAAAGCGTGCTGCCATGACGGCATATTGGGCAAGCTGCCGCCAGCATTAGAAGTTAGAAGACTGTGGGAATTGGAAGGCGAACCACCGATCTCGGAAACTTCGGCAGTCCAGCAGTAGAAGGTGAAAGATCAGCATGCGCAGACCTATTTGTACTCAGCGACAGCGAGCTGACTGCAGTGCCCAGCGAAGCAAGCCCGGAGGCGCGAAGACCCTACGAGGGACATACCGGCACCCGCCCACCTTTGCCGAAACATCTGAGGGAAGGGAGAATTTTGAACAAGAGAGTAGCCACTACAGCCACTACTAGTACCGCGGGAAAGGGCAACAAGGCGACGGCGCCAGCAGAGACCAACGTCGAAGGATGACGACGGCAGACCATTGTGTCCTGTTGTGTGTGGTGTTATTTCATTGCCGATCGTGGCCAAGATCGTGGCCAATGCCTACTAGCCATTACATGCACCAGTGTGTTGCGGAATGGTGATTCCATTCCACGTGTACCTCTGGGACACGGTTGGGATGATGTCTGTGAAAATTCTAGAGTGGCCTCTTGCAAGAGGCTAAGATTTGAACCGTGAGCTATAGCAGCGCCAGCGTTGTGCTTTTTCTGCGCAGATGTTTGTGGCTGGACACATGGTGATTCCAAGCGCCCCAAAATTGTGACCGCAGCCATGCCGCGAATGCTGAGACCTGTGCCCCAAGCCAGAGCCTTAGCTGATGTTGTCCAAGATGGCGCAAGCAATGGGCGCATTTAAATGATCGCCTGAATTGCGGAATTGATTACGAGGTCGTTATGGTGCGCCACCCACGGCGAAGTGGCGTGCTAGGGCTTGGTGCTGGGCTGGTTTTCTTGAGCTTCGCAAGCCACTCAGGCGGTCAAGCAGTGCCATATGTCAGGAAGGGAGGCGCCTGTTCCCTGGCTGGCCTGTACTTTGCCCATGCGTGAGGTCAGCAAGTTCAGCGAGAGGGTCCAAATTTACAAGGCTGTCCGCAGAAAGTGCCACATCTCGAGACATATAGTCTCTAGACTCTAAAATCGCAGTGCAGGAAACGAGAATTCGAATGCTTCACTGGGAGGAATTTCAATTTGCAAGAGATGGGGCGATGGGGCCGACACCTGCCGACTTGAGCGTTCTTCTGCGCTGCGTCCGCAGGCAAAGAACCTGAAGGTCAAGAATGCGAAGCCACGGCGAGTGGAAGGCTTGACAGATTCTCAGCCCCGTGAAAGAGGCGTAACGTACCGTCACAGCTTTTGCAGCATCCAAGGACTTGATGAGGTTTATTCTGGGGTCAACTTGTAGCTTGCGGGAGTTCTTCACCGTTTCGAAGCTGTCGCTCATGTTGCTTCTACGCACCGTTGGCTCTGTTTGGGCACCAGGCTCAGCTTCTGAACTCAGCTTTGATTTATTCTTTTTTGTGAATTTCATCTTTGACCCTGTCCCTACTGTACTCTGGTCCGAAGAATTCCTGACAAAGAGTGAGAAGTGGATATATGTCAACTTATGCCTGCTAAAGTCCTGCTAACTTCCATTATTCACGGAAACAATATCCGAGGCTGGGTTGCCAAGAGGTGTGGCACGGTGTGGGCCTCCGAAATCTTCAACATTGGGTGTCGCATTTCACTCTCTTCAATAGGGCATGATAGGATTGGTGGCCGGCAAATGTCGAAGGGAAGACGTCAATATGTAGCAACATGCCCTCAGATGACACGTGACCATTCTTCGCTGGTGTGTGTGTGTGTGAGAGACTGGAATTCCATGGTTTCTGATAGCAAAGAGTTGTTGCAGGTGAGTTGTTTCCTGGAATGCCGGGAAAAACTTCCACCCCAAAGGGTCCACAGAAGGAGAGAATGTCCTGAACTGGATCTATCACATCACCATACTGGCAGAGCCACGCGTAGCAACGCCCCCCATCCCAGGGGAACTCAAAGCACTCCGACAGGCGAGTGCCACATAGCCCGGACTGACAAACGCTCTGGAGGGGCATCTTCAGAGAAGACAGGACTGCAGCAAATGGAAGGCGTCTTCAGCGTGGCGAAGTGGGTTGCGCAGCCCCTGGACATCATGTTCTTCCACCTTATTCCCCTAGACCATTGGACTCGTCAAGTAGCTTCTGGAGCTCCAGTCTTCCTGGAGCTCCAGTCTTTTGACCTTGAGCGGCTGCATCCCACTTTAGTCGTTGACAAGCTCTCAAGGCAAGACAGGGTCCCCAGACCGGGCTCTCTTTAATCAGACTTCCGAACACTCACTTTCCATTTTGGGCTACAAGGAGCGGCTTGACGTGTTAACACGACATAAAACAGTACAAAGCGAACCTTGTAAGAATAACATGTTTCATCCTAATCATACTTATTGAATGGGCTTCACACGTGTCTCTTCGCTCCATTTGTTACTCGTGCTGGCTGTTTTGGTAACCATCGAACAAAACTGTCGGTGCTCTTGCAGGCTGGCAGCAGGTTCTCACTACGTCGAAACGGCTGCGGACCACTGGAAAATACATTTGTTGTCTGACTGACCGCGCACATCTTAACCGCAACCCCCAGTCAAGCCATTGGACTTGCCTTCGTGATTCGTTTTGAACCCCATGCGCCATGCCGTCAACTTGATGGAAGTTATTGCTCCCATTTGGTCCCCACATGTCTCACACATGGACATTTTCGCGCCTATTTTCGCAAGTTGCCTGACCATGGCCAGAATACATAGTTGTTTCCCTGTCTGGTTCCAGTTCCGCCAGCCGTTTTCACATCACGGTTTGCATCTTGTGCGCATTCGGCCCAGGTCTCCAAACACTGGGGCAGTATTGTGAACTCGGTGGTGTCACAAGATTTTGTTCGACTGGCCAGACTGGTTTCAGAATTCGCAGGTGCAACTGCAGCTTGGCACATGGTGAACTGTTGAACTCAACCTCCGGTTGCTGTGCCAGCTTGCGATGCTTCCGCATTGTTGCTTGTGTTTGTCTTCTGAGTCAAGGTTTTTCTTTCACTGCTGAATGCACTTCTAAAGCATCTCGGTTGCAGCCTTTGCATTCACGATGTTTCCTGCCATGTGTAGTTTGATGCTGTCGCGAGGTACCACCTAGACCTAGGCCTTCATGAGAAACCGTACAGCACTTCGGCAGGGGGTGTAGGACGCCGACTGTTTCTTGGCGCAGTCACATCCACAGCTGTGCCATACTGTGCCTTTGTGGCCAGTAATGGTCGGGTTCACAACGGGGACAGTCTGTCTCCGTACATGGCCCGTAGTAAGACACTGAAGGATTCGAAGTGGTCCCTAGCGTGTTTGGTGCTCAGCTGCAGGTACTACATCAGTGCCCTTAGATTGCAAGTTCGTGAAAAGATCACACTTTGGTGTCACGAGAAGTACATGCGCCCCAAAGACATGATCTTTTACAAGGCGCGGTGTCGAAGCATCTTCCATTCCAGCTGAACCTCAGCGAAAGGGCTCATGCTTGCCCACTGCACCCACTCAAGGCCAACAAAGTTGGACAGAAGATTGATAACTGCGACCACCAGATCACCTCAGACGTGGAAAGGTTTTCCGACGTCTTTGCAGAGACGTGGCAGCTAAATCCACTCTTTGTGCATGGTTTGTCAAGCCTGCAAACATACCCAGCGCATGCTTGCTTGTGTAATGTATGAGCCAGATCTGTACAAGATGTTGTCAAGATGTCTCCCATGAGCCCCTCACGGATAGAGACCTGGAATGAAGTAAGTTACTCTCCTGCTGTCGGCATAGCAAGGAAGTCTTCTCGCAGTCGCTGAAGCCCATTGTTGACTTTCTCGTTTATTCCGTGGAGCTCAGCCGGGTTCAGGGCCTCGCAACCCCCTTGACATTGTACTCTTGGTTTGCCTGTGCGAGCCTGAGTCCGACTTGAGTCCTGAAAGCTACTGGCGGGCACTCCAAGCCATGCCCAACTGTATCAGGCTTTCAAAGCAACATGACCAGACTGAAGCGTGACTCCGGAAAGCTGAGTTGCTTCGTGCATTTCGGCAGTGACCTTGCCTCCATTTGGCGAGCTGGCAGCTGGCGAGCAAAGACTGGAAGGTCGGAAGGTGTCATGCAGTTCGCTGTCGTGTTTGTCGTTCTTCTTGTAGCTAGCTTCAGAGCAGCAGCGGCGGCGGCGGCGTCCGCAGCAGAAGCAGCAGCAGCAGCAGCAGCAGCCGCCGCCGCCGCAGCAGCAGCAGCAGCAGCAGCAGCAGCAGCAGCAGCAGCAGCAGCAGCAGCAGCAGCAGCCGCAGCAGCAGCCGCAGCCGCAGCCGCAGCCGCAGCCGCAGCCGCAGCCGCAGCAGCAGCCGCAGCCGCAGCCGCAGCCGATCAGCAGCCGCAGCCGCAGCCGCCGCCGCAGCCGCAGCCGCAGCCGCAGCCGCAGCCGCAGCCGCAGCCGCAGCAGGCGGCCGGCAGCAGGCGGCCGGCAGCAGGAGCACCAACAGCCGCAGCGGCAGCGACAGCTGCAGCCGCATTGGCGTTCGCGACAAGCGTGCAGTCGCCACGTACCTGCTTTGATGCCTTTTGCTGAATCCGACGCTGTAGAGGGAGAAGCTGCTTGACTAGGCAACTTTCGTGGGAAGCATTCTGAGCTCATCACGAATTGTGAACAGATTGCCTTCCTGGGTGGTGAACGGCCTGAGAAAGATGTTCTGAACAGTTCCTGTGCGGAGCTCATAAGCCACTGCAAACGCACCATCAACCTCTCCTTTAACTCAGAGGTGCTCAGGCAGTACCTCAACAAATATTTCTGTACTGTGATTGGGTTGATCCTCATTGCGCGGCCTTTGCGTCTCCGCTCGCAGCAATTGCCGCCATTTACAAGTGATCAAATTGCACAGTATTTTACATCGACCTGGAGAAACATGGAGGCCATGGCCACAGCCATCCAGGACAGCTGGCAAATCAAGGGGAAAGGCAGGCAACAACTAAACTATGTGATGGAGCTGTCGCCCGCCGCCTACGCCCAAAGCAAACCAGGACTTAGGTAGAGCGGGGTCTCCTTTCCGTTGGTTTCTCGGGAGGAGTGGAGTGGGGTACAGGAGAACACGAACAAAGAACACAAAAAAAACAATTGCTTCTTTCCCTACAGCTGCCTGATGTTGCGGAAGCCGTTTTCAGACAAGGTAATGTCGGATACTTCGCCGCAGGCTTCTGTCGCCAGACTCTCTGGGGAGTTCTTTGAGGGTGGGCACTCATCGGATGTGGGCACTCCATGAATGCTGGACTCTCTGCACTTCAAGGATACTTGGCGGGACGATGCGGGACGCCAGGACTCTTTGGCTGCTTCTGTGCGTGGGCACTCCAGGGATCCTCGGTCTGCCGGTTGGCATTTGTGGGACTCATTGCTCGCCGATAGCTTTCAGTCCGAAAGTGCCGATGCAGGTCGAAGCAGCTGGGATGCTAGCGAGACCCCCCTCCCTGCCTAACGCAGACAAAGAGCCAGCGAGCTTGCAAGAGTTTTAGTAAGAGAGGCCCCCGCGGAGCGATGCTTGTAAGGTTCCGCGAGTGCGACGTTCGGGGGTGCTCAGGGTCTCGGGTGGCCCGATCTGTGTCTATTCTGTCGGGCAAGGGAACCTAGCTGGGATTCAGAATCTAGAAGGCCAGGCTGTCGGTCCCGATTGCCCTGTGCGCCAAAATGACAGTTTAACCCAGCCATGAGGTTCATCATTACGTATCCTCGGGTTATCTCGTGTGCAACTGTCGGGGTTGTCCCGGCCTTGTCTCTGTCAAGAAGTAGGCTTCACGGAAATGAGCAAACTGGGGCAGTTGCTGCAAGCAGTTGCAATGCAACGTGGCCGAGGCGCGCTGTGACCCACACATGATGAACCGCTCTTGGTAACCAACCCCGTCCAAGAAATTGCTCAGGAACCCTCCAGTTTCAGCTTTCATGGTATGGGTAGGACCGGGTAGGATGCTCTGGATGCACCGGTGGTTATCATTGCTGCCTGGGTTTTCTGGAGGGGTGTCCCTAGCTGATATCACTGCTTAGTTGCGAGCACAGGCAGGCCGTTCCATCAATCAAGGGTGAAACGTAGGAGGTTGGAAGTCCTTGCGCTGCTTGGGTTGCGCGCTTTCATCACTTTCCAATATTCCCTGCAGGATTTGTTCGAGCTCACAAACCGCATCGGGAGATTGAGCGGCTTCGCCACTCGAGTTCGGCAACTCATGCTGGGATTGGAAGTGCGCCCGCCTGTGTTACGCGAAGAGATTGCTGCAGCTAAAAGCGGTAACTTGGGTTAATTCCAGATAGTCGTCGGCCCTTTGATTGTAACAACGACAAAGAGAATTCAACGAGCTTCCCTGGGGGGGAGGGGGGCACAAACCAGCCAACAAGCTGTAGCGGCGCCTCAGTTGTTGTGGTTCAGCCGTTTATGCCAGTGCTGGCCACAGAACACTGGACGGTGGCTGTCTTTGAGCTGGAAACATAAGGTCCCAGCCCTCCGGTGTTCCAGCAGGGTGACCACTTGAAGTTCGAGAACGCTCCTCGACACAAGACAAAGAATCCGACTTAGGCTGCTGCAAGGGGAAGTGCGGGGCCGGGTTAATCAATACCACACACACACAGAGAGACAGACAGACAGACAGACAGAGACAGACAGAGACAGACAGAGACAGACAGAGACAGACAGAGACAGACAGAGACAGACAGAGACAGACAGAGACAGACAGAGACAGAGACAGACAGAGACAGACAGAGACAGAGACAGACAGAGACAGACAGAGACAGACAGAGACAGACAGAGACAGACAGAGACAGACAGAGACAGACAGAGACAGACAGAGACAGACAGAGGCAGACAGAGACAGACAGAGACAGACAGAGACAGACAGAGACAGACAGAGACAGACAGAGACCGACAGAGACCGACAGAGACAGACAGAGACAGACAGAGACAGACAGAGACAGACAGAGACAGACAGAGACAGACAGAGACAGACAGAGACAGACAGAGACAGACAGAGACAGACAGAGACAGACAGAGACAGACAGACACAGACCCTCACACACCCTCACACACCCTCGCACGCGCGCGCGACAGCCCCCACACCCTCACACACCCTCGCACGCGCGCGCGCGCACGCGCGCAAGCGCGCGCACCGCGCGCCGCGCGCATGCGCGCAACGCGCGCACGCTCGCGCGCACGCGTCCACGCGCGCACGCGCGCACGCGCGCACGCGCGCACGCGCGCACGCGCGAACGCGCCCACGCCCACACGCACCACACGCGCACTCCCCGCCCACGCAGGCACGCACGGCACAGGCACGCAGCGGCACGCAGCAGGCACGCAGAAGGCAGGCAACGCAGCAGGCACAGGCACGCAGCAGGCACGCAGCCAGCAGGCACGCAGCAGGCACGCTGCAGCACGCGCGGCACCTGCGGCACGCGCAGGCTGCAGGCACGCTGCAGGAAAGCTGCAGGCACGCTGCAGGCACGCTGCACGCTGGCACGCTGCAGGCACGCGCAGGCACTCTGCAGGCACGCTGCGCACGCGCAGGCCGCTGCAGGCACGCAGCAGGCACAGGACGCAGGCACGCACGCAGCAGGCACGCAGCAGCAGGCACGCAGCAGGCACGCAGCAGGCACGCAGCAGGCACGCCGCAGGCACGCTGCAGCTGCAGGCACGCAGCAGGCACGCAGCAGGCAGCAGGCAGCAGCAGGCAGCAGGCACGAACGCAGGCACGCACTCAGGCACGCACCGCACGGCCGCAGGCACCACGCAGGCACGCACGCACGGCACGCACGCACGCACGCACGCAGAACGCACCACGCGCGCAGCCACGCACGCAGCCGCACAGCACGCAGCACGCACGCCACGCAGGCACGCACGGCACGCAGCACGCACCACGCACGCACGCAGACGGCCGCACGCAGGACGCACGCACGGCCGCACGCACGGGCCTCACGGCCGCACACTCCGGCCGCACCCGGTCCCGCAGCACGGCCGCACGCACGCCGCACGGCACGGACGCGCACGGCCGCACGCACGCCTCACGGCGGCCCGCACGCAGCACGCGCGAGCACGCGCACACACACAAGACACACAGACACACAGACACGCAACACACACACACACAACAGAGACAGTACAGACAGACAGGACAGACAGACAGACAGACAGACAGACACAACACAGACACAGACACACACACACACACACACGACACCGACACAGACACGAACAGACCAGACACGACACAGACACAGACACAGACACAGACCAGACACAGAACACAGACACAGACACAGAAACAGACACAGACACAGGACACAGACACACACACAGACACACCAGACACACACACACACACACAACCACACACACACACACACACCACACACAACACACACACCAGAGACACCCACACACACACACAGAGACACACAACACACAGAGACACCACCACAGAACCACCACACACTAGACAAACCACACAGAACACACACACAGAGACACACACACAGACACACACACACAGAGACCACACACATGACACACACACACACACACAGAGACACACACACACCAGAGACCCACACACACACGAGACACACACAGCACAGCACACAGAGACAACACACACACACACACACACAGAGACACACACACAGACACACACACACACACACACAGAGACACACACACACAGAGACACACACACAGAGCACACAACACACAGAGACACCAGAGAACACAACACAGAGACCACCACACACACCACACACAGAAGCCAACACACACAAAGCGAACCACACACACACACACACACACCCACACACAGAGACACACACAACATAGACACACACACCACACACAGAGAACACACACACAGGACACACACATATACACACACACACACACAGAGGACACACACACAGAGACACCCCAGACACCACACCCCCACAAACACACACACACCACCAACACCACACACACACACACACCACACACACACACACACAAACACAACACACACACACACACCACACACACACCACACAACACACACACACAAACCCACACACACACACACACACACACCACACACACCCACACACAACAACACAACCCACCTCTGTGCACTGACAGGCGCCCCTCACGCCCAGCACCCCCGCCCCCGCCCGCCCCCCCCACGCACGCACGCACGCACGCACGCTAACGCACACGCGACGCACGGCACGACGCACGCGCAGCGGCGCACTCGAGCAGCGCAATCACGCGACGCGCACCGACGCGAACGCACGCAGCGACGCAGAGCGAGCCGCGCGTAGCCGCACGCGGCGGCACGCGAGCCGCGACTCGCAGCCCACGAGCGAGCCGCACGCGAGCCGCACGCGAGCCGCACCCGCACGCGAGCCGCACGCGAGCCGCACGCGAGCGCACGCGAGCCGCACGCACGCGCGAGCACGCGCGAGCAACGAGCGAGCCACGCGCGAGCACGGCGCGACGCGCCCGCTCCCGCCCGCGCCCGCCCGCGCCCGCCCCCCGCCCGCGCCGCGCCCGCGCCCGCCCCCCCCTGCCCGCCCGCCCCCCCCGCCCCCCCCGCCCCCGCCGCCCCGCCCGCCCCCCCGCCCCCCCGCCCCGCCCGCCGCCCGCCCCCGCCCGCCCCCGCCCGCCCCCGCCCAGCCCGCGCCCGCCCCGCGCCCGCCCGCGCCCGCCCGCGCCCCGCCACCCCGCCGCCTTCGCCCCCCGCCCGCCCCCGCCCGCCCCCGCCCGCCCCGCCCGCCGCCCGCCCCGCCCCCCGCCCCCGCCCTCCCGCGCCCGCCCGCGAAAAAAAGCCCCCCCCCTCCCCGCCCGCCCCCGCCGCCTCCGCAGAAAAAAAAACCCGCCGCGAAAAAAAGCCCGCCCGCGTAAAAAAAAAAGCCCCGTGAAAAAACGCCCCGCCGCGAGCGAAAAAAGCCCCGCCCGCGAAAAAAAGCCCGCCCGCGAAAACCCCCGCCGCGAAAAACCCCACTCCCTCCACGCCCGCCCGCCACGCCCGCCACGCACGCCACGCACGCCCCGCGCACGCGCAGCACTGCAGCTCATTCGCCCCGCCCGCCCGCCCGCACCGCCGCAGCCGCACGCAGCAGCACGCACGCACGCACGCACGCACGCACGCACGGCACGCACGGCACGCACGGCACGCACGGCACGCACGGCACGCAAGGCACGCAAGGCACGCAAGGCACGCAAGGCACGCAAGGCACGCAAGGCACGCAAGGCACGCAAGGCACGCAAGGCACGCAAGGCACGCAAGGCACGCACGGCACGCACGGCACGCACGGCACGCACGGCACGCACGGCACGCACGCACGCACGCACGTAGATGGGCTGTTGGTGTAGTAATGATTGAAGATGGTTGTCCTAGTTACTAATGAGTTGTTAAAAGGGTTAGCTTCGTTAGATTAATGATATGATAAATGGTTAAATACCAATTACTTAACCATTTAGTTTAATATTTAGCTAAGCATTTAACTCCATGAAGAGTACCTGAAATCCTCCATTGCATCTATTGAAAATAGGCTTTGGTAACTGGAGCAACAACACCTGAAAGGGTGAGAATGCCATGGCATAATTATCCAATGGCCAGGTGAGACATTGAAAGACATGGAGAGAAACGAAAAACAAACTCGTCCATTCCAGCTCAGGCGATCCACAAACGGACACTAGGATGAGCCTGGAAAGGCTTTTGCAAAATCAAAAACATGCCATGCTTGAGCCATGAAGGCATACATGCCACAGGAAGCCTTCTAAGGCTGGCAAAAACAAGATGCTGAATATGCAGGTGCCTGTGTATGCAATTAGCAGAACCTCATGCTCATGGTTGTCTGCTTTACACCTCCACCTCCAGGGCACCAAAGTCACAATCTTCCCAGCAGGGCTGGAGGGGCTGGAGCTGGAGGGGCTGGAGGGGGGGGCTGGCTGAAGGCTCCAGCCCCTCCAGCCCCTACCACGAAACATTTTTTAAAAAAATCCGGTTCGAATATTCTTAATTGTTGAAAAAATATCAAATTAATTCGTTTGATTTTCAAAAAAATAATGTATTGATTATTTATTTATTTTTTATTTGGATAATGTTCAGGGTTTAGGGTTTAAAGTTTAGGGTTTGGGGCTTAAGGTTTAGGGTTTAGTGTTTAGGGTTTGTGGTTTGGGGTTTCGGGTTTAGGGTTTAGGGTTTATGATTTATGCTTTAGGGTTTAGGTGTTGAGGTTTGGGGTTTGGTGTTTAGGGTTCAGGTTTAGGGTTTAGGGTTTAGTGTTTAGAGTTTAGGGTTTAGGTTTTAGGGTTTACGGTTTAAGGTTTGTGGTTTGGGGTTTGGGGTTTAGGGTTTAGGGTTTAGGGCTTAAGGTTTAGGGTTGAGGGTTTAAGGTTTGGTGTTTGGGGTTTGGTGTTTAATAGAAATTGTATAGGGTTTGTGTCCTGGGTTTTGTCGGGTTTTGTCGGGTTTTGGGGGGCTTTGCCGTTTTTTTTTTTGCTTTTGTCATTTTGACTTTGGCGTTGTGGGGCTGGGGCTGGTGGAGTGGAGGAGCTGGATGGGCTGGGCTGGATGGGCTGGAGGGGCTGGAGGTGATGGATGGGCTGGAGGGGCTGGAAGTCAGCCCACTGAATTCAAAATTTTGAATTCAGTGGTGAATTCAAAATCAAAAAAAACGAGTTTGAATTCAGCCCACTGAATTCAAAATCAGAAATTCCGAGTTTGAATTCAGTGGGCTGAATTCAAACTCAGAAATTCCGAGTTTGAATTCAGTGGGCTGAATTCAAACGTTTTTTTTCTGATTTTGAATTCAGCCCACTGAATTCAAGATTTTGAATTCAGTGGGCTGAATTCAAAATTCTCAATTCAAAAATTTCACGGTTTAAATGAATTTCAATCTACTGACCACATTTTTTATAAGTCAAACCAATACAAAATCTAAATCTTAATTACAAAACATATATTGTGGACCTAGTTTTTTTGTAACAAATATTTTGAAAATGTTTTCATTAGGAAAAGTTTAGGGTTCAGGGTTTAGGGTTTAAGGTTTAAAGTTTAGGGTTTAGTGTTTAGTGTTTGGGGTTTGGGGTTTAGGGTTTGGAGTTTATGGTTTAATTTTTACTGTTCAGGGTTTAGGGTTTAGGGTTTAGTGTTTAAGGTTTGGGGTTTAGGGTTTGGGGTTTGGGGTCTGGGTTTTAGGGTTTATGGTTTAGGGTTTAAGGTTTGGGGTTGGGGGTTTGGGGTTTAGAGTTTAGGGTTTAAGGTTTAGGGTTTAGGGTTTAGGGGTTTATAGAAATTGTATAGGGTTTGTGTCCGGAGTTTTGGGGGGTTTTGTCGGGTTTTGTCGGGTTTTGTTTTTCAAACTTAAAGAAATTGTGTTGGTGGTTTCGGGTGGTTTTGGGGTTTTGGGTGGTTGTGGGGGGGTTTTGAGGGGTTTTGGTGGGGTTTGGGGGTTTTTGGGTGGTTTTGGGGGGGTTTGGTTTTGGGGGGGTTTGGGGGTGTTTGGGGTTTGGTGGCAGGTTTTGGGGGGTGGGGGGGGTTTTGGGGTTTTGGGTGGTTTTGGGGGGTTTTGGGGTGGTTTTGGGGGTTTGGTTTGGGGGGGTTGGGGGGTTTTGGGGGTTTTGGGTGGTTTTGGGTGGTTTTGGGGGGGTTTGGTGGTTTTTGGGGGTTTTGGGGGGGGTTTTGGTGGGTTGTGGTGGTTTTGGAGTTTTTGGGAGGGTTTTTGGGTGTTTTGGTGGTTTGTGGGGGGTTTTTGGGTGTTTTTGGCAGGTTTGGGGGGGGTTGGTGGTTTTCGGGTGGGTTTTTGGAGGGTTTTTTTGGGGGGGTTAGGGGGGGGTTTTGGGGGGGGGTTTGGGGTTTTGGGGGAGGTTTTGGGGGGTTTTGGGGGGGTTTTGGGGGGGGTTTTGGGGGGTTTTGGTGGGGTGTTGGGAAGGGGGGGGGGTGGTTTGGGGAGTAGGTTGTTGCTCCATCTTCAGTAAAAAACAATGAAAGCACAAAGGAATTAATCAATTAGCTCATGATACTAAATAGTTAATAACTTGCTAATCATGATCAACTAAACCTGCTAAACCTTTTAACCACTTTAACTTTAAATGCTTATTAATGTCATTAAACTATAAGCCATGTTAGCAGACTTAGTTATTTTTTAACTAATGCTGCCAAACAACACAAACACTTACACATGTTATAATGAGTTATAATGGTTTATAACATTTTAATAACAGCATAATAACATCTTAATAATCATGGCAAACGATCTATTCTCCTAGTAAACCAACAGCCCATCTAAGCACGCACGCACGCACGCACGCACGCACGCACGCACGCACGCACGCACGCACGCACGCCCGCCCGCCCGCCCGCCCGCCGCCCCGCCGCCCGCCGCCCGCCCGCCCGCCCGCCCGCCCGCCCCGCGCGCGCGCGCGCGAGCTGCGCGCGCTCGCCGCGCGCACCGCCGCGCCCGCGCGCGCGCGACGACACACACACACACACACAGAGACACACACACACACAGAGACACACACACACACACAGACACACAGACACACAGAACACACACAGACACACAGACACAGACACACACACACACACACACACACACACACACACACACACACACACACACACACACACACACACACACACACACACACCACACACACACACACACACACACACACACACACACACACACACACACACACACACACACACACACACACACACACAGAGGCCCCCGCGCGCGCGCGCGCGCGCGCGCACGCACGCACGCAAGCACGCACGCATGCACACGAATCCCACGCTGCAGAAATGTCAAGTCGTGCCCTTTGGCAGTTGCCAAGGTTTCTGTATATCGTCCAGATGGTACATTGCTTGTCAAAGATCTGAACTTCACAGTGGAGCGTGGGCAGCGTGTACTGGTGACCGGTGGTAATGGATGCGGAAAGTGGCTCGTTTCAATAGTCGGTGCATTCTGAACGATGCATCTTTTCTGACCCTCCAGACATACTGATTCCCTGCAGGGTTTTCTGGGCCTACAACAACAGAATCTGTCTCAGGTCTAGCCTCTTTCGGGTCATTCGCAAACTGTGGCCGCTGGTAGAAGGAACCATCACCATGCCGGACGACAAGGCTCTCCAGGTCTTTTGTCACATGCCACGGAAGCGGCATCTCATTTTGATGCCAGTGTGCCTAGTTGAACGGCGGACGTCTTTGATGTAGACATCATGCACTACATGAAAACTCTCAACACATTTTCACAACTCACAGCACATATTGAAGGAGATATACTTCTTGACGATGCTTGACTTCAAACATGTCGCTTTCTTTTCGGAGCTCTCTTTCATCTCTCGTTTTTGATGAACGTCCAGTTGGTTGCTTTATTATGGAGCTTAGGCAAGTCAATTTTGTGCCTTGCGGCTCACTTCGTGATTTGGTCATCTATCCGCAGTCCAGGGAAGAGATGCGAATGGCGGGCTGCAGCGACGATGATGTACGCACGTGCCTGCGTTGGGCTCATGTTTCTCCAACCATCATACATGACGGGCGGGCTCAGCTGGAGTTTAACGATGCAGGTCACGTTGTAAGGCCAGGCCTCGATGACGTTCGCGATTGGCAGAAAGATTTATCACCAGGCCAAAAGCAGCGACTGGCCTTTGCAAGACTATTCTATCACCGACCGTCTTTCGTAATTCTGGACGAGTGCACAAATGGAATATCACCTGATGTGGAGCACGACTTGTACGACCGTTGTACACGGCTCAATCTTGCCGTGTTCTCTATTTCTCACAAGATTGAGTTGAAGCTCTTCCATGTGACTTGGCTTGTGCATCTTGCCCCAGTAGCTCCACCCAAGCAAGAACGACTTCCAGGGCACCTCGTCCATGTGTTTGTTCGTAGCTTCAGGGAAGTCTCTGCAGCATGTGAGGTTGATCGGCCCGGCTCTCTGACCGTCGTACCTTTGTGCGTAGGATGGCAAAGTAGCCTCGTAGAAGGATCTGATGGGCAACGGCTTTGTTTGATGTTTGAGTGCAAGGAGAGGGAGCTACACTACCACGGAGACCTGAAGGGCTCCTGGACGATGAACGAATGCTCCCATACCCGCGACAAGATCACGAGAGCTTCCTCCACAGTCAAGCTTCCTGAGCCTGACAAAGCCGGAAAGAAGGAATCCAGAATCACCTATGAGCGGCACATTTGGTTTGCTGATTAAAAAAAGCTTGAGTTGTTTGGAAGTGCAGTGCTGCAAGAGACCGGCACTCCAAGCTTCCGCAGGCATCCGCAGGCACCGTGTGCTGCACATAGAAACAGCTGCATATGGCTGTATCGAGAAAGCCAAGACGAGCTGCACGGCCTGGTGGCAAAGAACGCCAGGACTGTCATTGTTAAAGGCAAATGCCTCATTACGGAGAAAGGCACAGATCTTTCTAGAGTGCATGGCAGAGCTTTTGCGCACAGGCCCCAAGCTCACCTCATGATTTGTGTGACAGTCATATCTCAGCCCACCAAAGCCACCGAGGCACGCCTCAGATAGCCCATGGAATCATCCATCACTACATGGAGGAATCTCTGATTGATGCTTCAGCTGTGCCAGACAGCCAACTTTTCTGTTAAGCAATATTCCAATACTGATTGCAGGCCGAATCGAAGCTTTAAAGGCCAAGCAGCATGAAACTTTGGCTTGACCAGGCAACTTTTGAGCATCAGCCTCTTGGGTCTTGGGGGTTTGCTGAGCTACAGGTACTTTACTAGCACTTGCCGGTAATGCCGGTACTCCGACGCTGATACAAAGGCCATACAAAGGCCTAAGGCTGCAGGGAGAAGTTGTTCCACCAAGAAATTGGTGACGCAGCTCGTTTAGTTCTGTTTTTTTATTGGGGAAGCAAAAGACTTCGAAGGCCTGCCACACACAAGATTTGCCCAATAGTTCCTCAGCGGCACAAAGTGAACCAACGAAGGTCGATAATCCGATTCATCACTGCCCGTGTCTCACACATTGGCTTGCGGCACGTTCCTCGCAACTCTTGACTCTTCTGGCATGCAGCTCAAATTTCGATATGGCAGCAGGAGTTGCAGAAAATGTAGAACACGGTCCTGCGCCTGATCAGTGTAGCACTTCAGCACCTTTGTTCCATTACGTTGCAACAGCAGCTTCCACCACGACATAAGGGGGGGGGCCCGTTGTATGCCTCATGCCCGGTTCTGGAACTTCACTTTGAGCTGTCGGGTCCTCATATGTGCAGTGCCTTTCGGCTATTAGAGGGCTTGTCGATTTTGGTACTGAAGGCGCGCCCATTCTTGTTACGACGCATGGCTATTTGGGGGCCTCGGTCCTTTGTGTTTGCTTCGCAAACAGTTTATTGACTGCAGCGTTATCAGGCACTCCGGGTGCGAGAATGGGGTTGGATGAGGTCCGGCAAAAACCAACAGACAACTGCCACGTGTAGAAACAGCGAGATCTTGCTAATAACCGACCCACAACCGGTCTCTTCACTGTATGTAGGATAAGCGCGCACGCTTGCTATTGAGAGCTTACTTGTGTAGTGAAGGTAGCGCAGAGCAAGCCCATCCTTTGCCTTTACCTTTGCTTTTGACAAGCTGTAGAAAATCGCCATCGGCCCATGACTCAAGAACGTAGTCTGAAGGCTTGTCAGTCTTCCAGCCTTCAGGGACCACGAGAACATATACATATTTCGTTCGAGCGACGACCTTGCTTCGGGCCAACTAGGGCGTCCTATGTTCTTGATTTCGGGCCAACGCTGCGCATGTTTCATTCAGCTCCAAATGTAAGTCGTGCCGGTGATAGATTGGCAAGGTGCAAGCGCCTTGATGGACCTGAACTTCACTTGCACTTGCACGCAGCGAAAGCTTCTGACCTTGCAGCTTCTCCGGAAGGTGCGTGTAGGATTGAGGGTGCTCTTAGGGGGGAAGCTGCTGCTCTGGCAGCTTCCTTACGGGGGGGGGGGCATGCTAAGTACTCAGTTCGGTAGAGCCGTGGGGAAGCAGCTGCCTGTTCAGCGTCATGATGTAGCTGCAGCACTCCTCGGAAAGATGGCTACTGGCTGGTGTTGCTTAAAAAGGCGCGAGTGGCGCGGCATCAACTCTGCAGAGTTTCTTTGGGATGGCTTGGTGTGTGCCTTCACCTCACGCGCCTACATTTCTCCCGCGCCAGCCTGGCTTCGAACTGCTCAGCAGAGCACTTGCTGTTTCATAGGATAGGAGGAGGACTGTAATTAGCGTTTCTGGAATGCCTTGCGCCTGCGACTCAGTGTTTGTGACATCGAGGAACCCAGAATCAGTCAACACATTTTGCTTGTGTTGAGGCCTTGGAGAGGCCACCAGCTCTTGTGAGTTGCATGCCAGCTGCGTGGGTTTATGTAGAGCATTCATGCACGCACGCCGCTTGCTCCAGTACAGCATTCGATTGAGGAGGGTCTCAGAATTGAACGAGTGGCATGTCATGCGAGTTTTGGGTAGGCTGGATGTGGTAGGTCCTGTCCCGCCGCGACGCACACACCGTCGTAGATGTGGTTCAAACCTCCTTCATCCAGTGCAGACAACTCTGGCCAGGCTGTGTGGTGTCAAGCGAGCCGGCGGTAAGGCACTGTAAAGGTGCGCCTGGACAGGTGCTTGATGCACCGGACCGGGCTGCAGCCTTGGGGGGGCTGTTGGTTTCCCTTCTTGAGTTTTTTGTTTGCGCTTGATTCTTCTTGGTGTCTAGATGCCCTAGCTTGGGTCTCACCTCGCACTGCGTTTTAGCGTCCTGGTGATTTACAAATGATACCAGCTTCAAGAATCCGTCATTGGACTACACTACATTCCAATCCCTACCTTCCAGCAGGGACACAGGAAGTTGCGAACCTACCCATCCCGTGCTTTGTCGGGGCTTTTTCAAACTCGGGTTCCAAGACCATCCAAGACCTATGGTTTTAACATGTTTTAACTAGAGATTGGGGCTTTGGGTTTGTCATTTCGAGCTTTAGGGCCTGAGGGCTTGTGAAGTACAGCAGCCTGGGCATGAGGGCATGTGCACTGCAGCTCCCTTCTCCAACAAAAATTGGATTGTGGTCTTGGATCCGGGGGCTTGGGTTTAGCGTTTAAGGGTTTATGGGGTTTATGGGTTTATAGGGGATTCTAGGGTTTCCAGGGTTTCTAGGGTTTAAGGGTTTATAGGGTTTGGGGTGTATGGGTTTAGGGTTTAGGGCTTATGAGGGCTTGTGCTCTGTTGAGATCACAGTATTGGTGCGAATGGCACAAAGCCCTAAACAACCACCCTATCCCCTAAACCCTATTCCCTAAACCCTCAACCCTAAATCTCTAAACCCTCTCAAGGCCCTTAACCCTGGAACATTGCCTGCTGCGCAACGAAACCCCACCAGGTGGAAGAGGAACCCCGTGTGCTGAAGCGCCGCAGGGCCGACGCACGCCCCTTCCCTACAGTGCGGGGTTGCCTTGAACTGAGGGGTTGGGCTTGGGTTTTCGTTTAGGGATGTTTCAGGATCAAAGAGGGTTTTAGTTAGGGTTTCAACTCCAGCCAACTCTCAAGCCGAATGCTCCGGCCCTAGGTTTCCAACGGTAGTCCAACGGTGCAGTCGGCCAAGTTTGCTTGCTGGATCTACCCCTTGAGGATCACTGATCTCCGTGGAGTGTGAGAAAATCTCCGGTCGAGTGGAAACATGCGTGGTTGTTGATTTCACAAAAACCACCGGATCTGCATAAAAGGCTCGTACGCTTTCTGTCAGAATGTGATGCGCACATGCTTTTTCGGCAGTTAGACACGCAAATTTGTTTCCAAACCCTGTTTAAAGTGTTTTCGTGGGGTTCAGTTCCTCAGCAAGGTCTGAGAGCTTCTCTATAAGGTTTAGGGTTGTCAGGGGCTGAGTGTTCAAGGGTTTGGGGGCTTGTAGGGTTTTGGGTTCTCAGGGGTTCGGGCGTTAGGCGTTCAGGGCCCTGGGGTCCAGATCACTCTGAGATGGTGGCGATGTCTGTAAATCTGTTTGTAGGGGCGGGATTCCGCGCCTCGGCACCCTTCTGCAGCCTGCTAAATGCAACAGCGGTGGCCCTCCAGTCCTTTGAGGGGTTCAATGACGCTACACGGCAAAGCCTGTGGCCTGTAATCCCTACCTGATCTCGCCTTTGCCTCTCAAGGAGTGGCGCTCCAAAAAGCGACCAAGTCTCGACAGGCAGTCTCCAGGATGTGTAGGTAGTGTGCTGTGTGGCGTCATGCCCGCCACGATCCAAACCTCATAAGTTCAGTTCACGAGCGTTGACAGATGGAGGTGCAGCAGCTGCAGGCGGCACTGCAGGCTTCGCCCCAAGATGTTACGTAGGTTTCAATTTCCCAAGCCCGGAAACTCAGAGGCGATAGTACCTCTATTCATCCTCGGTGAGCCTGACAGATTGGCATAGACTGGCAGGGTGCTCACGTTTGGAGGGTTTGGTTGGTTAGGTTGCTCGCTCTCAAACAGGAGAGTCTACCTGCTATGAGCAAGTGCAATCGCTGCAACCTTAAATCGGCCTGCGCTTCACTGGCCCAGGAGGCAGCATGCTGCAATTTCGATGACTACAACCTCTGGTTCTTTGAGGCAGCAGTTAGGTCGTGAAGGGATGCAAAAGATCTGTGTTTGGGAGTCCCCAAAACGCCTAGGCAGCCCCTTCGGACGTCCAAGGGTTGATGAGTAATGCAGCTAGGCCAAGAGAGCTCTGATCGACTTGCAGATCAAGATCGCCGACAAGGCCGCTCTCAGGGTTTCGGATATCGGTCCCGAATGGCGATTTGGGCAAGGAGGGAGGGAGGGAGTTCGTGCTTTGTCCGCCCCACTCCCCCCCACCCCCCGACCCCCGACCCCCCCCCCGTCTCGCTTCGACCCTTCCAGACGCCAGGCGAAGGCCGAGGCGAAGGCCGAGGCAAGCCAGGGTTTAGGGGGTTGTGACCTTAAATTTTAAGGTTTCTGGGCTTTAGGGGTTAGTGGTTTAGCGGGTTTGGGGCCTGTAGGCTTCGTCGAGTCTTTGGATGAACAGCAGGCGTCATTTCCTTCAGATAGGCTAGATTCCTACGTGTTGGGCATGCTGTGGATTATGATGGCTTTCGTGTGCTGCTGCCCGTACTCGTCCCTTGTCGCTTCGCTACTGCAGGAGCTTCTCTCGCCGCTTAATGTGTTTTCTTCTATGTACTCGTAGCGCTGTAGACAGCAGAAACAGCATGTAGACTGA